AACAATTTGCTGGTTAAATGGGTGGTAAGCAGAACCTGAGCTTCAACACAGAAGTTGATTCCAGAGCCCCCCCCAAAACAACCATCATACTGTTGTGACTAAGGAAAACTCTGCTGGCTGGAGGTGTCACTGGAGTCTTGTGCCCAATGGCTACTAATTTTTAAAAGGTCGTTCAGGTACAGGGCATCTGCCTGGAGAATCAGGTCGCCAAGACATTATAATGAATCTGGACCGATGAACAGGGTATAAATCCATCCCCAGCCACTGTGCTCCCCATCCTCTCCACCATGCAACTCTGCACATCTCCTTTTCTGCTACCCAGGTATCTGTGCCATGATCTTACCTAGAACCTTCAGGATCCTACTAGCAGAATCTAGTCTCCTTAAAGAGACCATTCTTTGGAAGATATTGTGAGAAAACAGAAGAGAGAGAATTCATTCAAAATTCCCTTAAAGGAGTTTTCATCTCCCTTATCTAGCTGTTGTGGGCAAACAGCTGGAACTGCTTTATTGACTGACTGCTGAAAACCAGATTATGTTCTCAAGTTCGGAACCTACATCATAATCCTGAAACCAGATACACATACGATACACACGCACTCGTCAGCACAGAGCCCAGCATTTCTGGGGGTCATTCTCCTCAACTAAAATCGCCCATTCTTTAAATTATCGGTGAATCCTGATTGTATAACTCATTTAGGGTTGATGGAGAGTTTTTAAAGCAATACTTTTATTCTAGTAAGTCAGAGAAAGGGAAATAACCTATGATATCACTTACATGTGGAATCTTAAAACATAATACAAATGAACTTATATACGAAACAGAAACAGATGTAGAAAACAAATTAATGGCTACCACAAGGGAAAGCAGTGGGGAAGGATAAATAGGAGTTTGGGATTAACAGATACATATGACTATATATAAAATAGATAAGCAGCAAGGACCTACTGTATAGCACAGGGAACTATACTAACCTATAATGGAAAAGAATCTGAAAAAGAATATACACATGAATATATACATATATATAATTGAATCACTTTGCTGTACACCCAAAACTAACACAACACTAACCATTATACTTCAATTAAAAATGGTAATAATGATAAAAAGAGGCTTCTTCTGAGAAAGAAAACAGAAGTGTTCAAGTGAGCAAAAAATTCAGAATGACTCAGATTTTAGGGGCTCAAAAAATTAAAGGGGGTCCGAGGGAAATGAGACAGGCTGAAAATAAATTTAACCTAAAATAAATTTAACTACCTACTTACCAGGAACACAGAAACATTTACTTTTAGGGTAAGTCTAGATTACACTACTATGGAAAAATCCATGAATTCTCAGAGTCAAATGCTGAAAGGAGCAGAAAAGAGAGAGGCCCTGGTAAGTGTGGGCGGCACAACTGCGAGTTTGGTGGTCTGATGGGGTTTTTGGAAAATGCTACCATTTGTGAAATGGGCTTAAAATAATATTTTGACTAGTGATTTCACGTCTATAAAGGGTATTAATTATTTTGGAATTTCCTCCAATGTTTAGATGCTCTGTGTTTGGAACACACTGATTGATTAGTTAATCTGCAGCTGCCTCTGTGTGCACTGCAATTTTCACTGCCTTGTTGCTAAGAGACCAGGACTTGTCTGAAATCGCCAGTGTGACAGGCACCGTGAAGAGCCGGTGGGCTCTGCCCACTGGCCACAGTGCCACCAAGTGGTCATTCTCCAAAGCAGTGGGACCGAGGAGGTTTGTTTCCACTGCTCTCTAATTACAGCCCTTTAAGGTTGTCTCTGTTCCAGATGAATTAGCAGGTTCACTGAACAGTGGGGAATTGTTTATTCTCTTCATATTCTTCTGAACACAGTGAGGATTTCTTTTCCTCCAGTGAATGAATCATGCCACGGCCAGCAGAATGGTGAAGTTAAAAGAATGTTGGACTGCTTGGCAGAAGGCTTTTTACTTTACCCCTAATTTGACCTCTCTTGGGCTTAATTTCCTCTTCTGAACAATGAAGGGCTTGGGTTAGGTCTCCGCACGTCCCAGACCGTCTACTCTAAAAGTCTAATTCTTTGCTTCTCTTACACGTGGTTCTTTTTTTTGTTTGGTTGGTTTTAGAGAGGAGGAGGAAATTAGGTTTATGTACTTATTTTTAATGGAGGTGCTGGGGATCGAACCCAGGACCCTGTGCCTGCTTAGCATGCACTCTACCTCTGAGCTGTACCCTCTCCTCTACATGTGGTTCTCAAAGAGGAGCATAACCTTGAAGCGAAGCGGATTCTGGTTAAGCAGCTCCTACAGATCTGCTTCTGTTGCTTCACAGGGAGTTCGAGCGGTTGGCAGCAAGGCTGGAGGGGAAGGGGAAGGACCGTGCCCACCAAGAGAGGCAAAATTGCCAACCTGATCTCACAAATGACTGCTCCCCATATGCTTGGCGGAGGCCCCCCCGGGCAAAACTGTCCTTGCTGAGTGAGAGCGCTGGCCCAGGGCCTCAGCTCCTGGGTAAACCTGTGATGGGAGGTCCACAGGGAAGCCCATGGGAGCAGGGTGTGCTTATGTGCTTTCAGCAACAGGCTGCTTGAACTAATACTGTCACTAAAGAGTAGAAGAAAAGGAGAAATTCCATCTGAAAAGGATGCATCCCAGTCTGTGGGAACCTGAAGGCAGGTAGGAGAATGGTTCTACTCTGAACCCTGCTCCCCACTATTACCTTTCCTGAACTCCTGTTTGGAGTCTACATGAACCCACACCCACGATGCACCTCACTGTGTGCCCGGTAAGGAGACCGACTCGTTTTCTAATTCTGTGACTTAACTCCAGTGCTAGGTAGGTATATCTGAGTTACGGTGAATCTTGCTCTCGTATTGCTGGGGCTTAGGCAAATCTTCATCAATCTGTGCATTATATCTAGTTTCCTCCAATTTTAGAATCAGGCAAGACAATAGGAATCCCAAATATTATAAACTAAAAAAAAATAGTTAATTATCATCAAGCTAAAAATACAGCTGAATTATTATAGGTCATGAGACTTTAGAGCTGTCTTCATTGTGACTTGATTAACACTCTTGTCATTATTTGGGTTTAAAAAGACAACTAATCTCAGTAACAAGAATTTGTATGACTGTCTCACTGAATTTCCATCCACTGGGGTAAAATTTACAGAATATTTAAGTCAGAATGGAACTTAGCGATCATCTAGCCTTTTTTGGTTTAAACTGAGACCTAATATACACATATAATAAAATTAAAGTGAATTTAGTTTTTACAATCTAACTTTAAAAAATAAAAAAATGAAAGTACTGCGGTAGTGGGGGATCTTTTCTATTTTTTTAACAGCTCTGAACCATAAAATTCAAAGGCCAAGTGACATAAACTTCTGGCTCACTCTGTCATTTGAGTGCCATTAGCTGATGGGCTAAGGAATAATGTGAGGAGGAGAAAGAAAAGGAAGAAAAACACAAGATATTCTTTTTGGCTTTGTTGACCGAAGGCCACATCTCCACTTAAACACATCAGCTCGGTAGAGTTTTTATGGATGGAATATTTTATTGTCGCTGTTCCTTGCCTCAAACACTAACCCAGTCTGGTCTTGTTTCCTGTGTCTGTGAGGTGAGATGTACAGGCTTCTTTCCTACCTCTGATGTTCGGCACCACAAGCCCAGAAACCCAGCTGCAGCCAAGGAAAAAGTGAGGGCCAGCTCATTAAATTTCAACTGGACACTCCTTTTAAGAATGCCACGCTCTCTTAAACCTCAGATTTCCACCCAGGCAGCAGCAAGGAGGCCTGCGGAGGCCTGGATGGGTTTGTCTCTCATGCGTTCCCCAGAGAGACACCTGTCACGTCAAAGAAGGAGCAACAGACTTGCAGTTAGAGGACCTGGGTGTGAATACCAGCTCCGCCGCACTTTGACTTGGACAAGTCACACAACTCTTAGTCCCAGTTTCCTCATCTACAAGACAGAGATAATAATAAGGACATCAGAGTTCTTGAGAGGATAAAATGACATAATACAGGTAAAATTGCTAAACAACTGAAATTATGATTTGCAATTCTTGCTAGCAAGGGTGTGAAAATGCACACTGGTCTTGCCTGTAAACCCTCTGTTGTTTAAATAAGTACATTTTTAAAAGTGTGCTGGTCCTAGATTTGATGTAACGGAGACCTGGCAACCAGAGAAGAAAAATCTCGAGTTACCACAGGCAAAGACGAGTATGAGCTAGGTGAGGGTGGGATGATGTATCCCGGAGAGAGATGAGGGGCAGAAGGCGTTGGCTGGAGAAGCAGCCTCCAGTGTCCAGGAGAAGGAACATGCTCCCTGTCCTTGCTGTCCCAGTGTGCAGGGGTGTCACCAGGCAGAAGGGCCATCTGCCTGAACTGCAGGGCACAGAGATGCCACCCACATCTCTCCCTGTGGAATATTCTGGGCTTGCCCAGCAAAGGCGCATGCTCATTGGCTTGAGTTTAACTCAGAAGGGAAGTAAACATCCTAACACAACCTAGATGGGACACAGATGTGAGGAAAACATCACGGTGACTTCAGATTTTTTATGGCATCATTAGCTGGTTAGGTTAAGGGAGAATGAAAATGAGAGAGACACAGAAAAAGAGACAGAGACAGAAATTAGGCAACTCTATAAACTTTCTTTTCCTAAGAATCCTGATTAAAATTCAGTCACGAAAGATTGCCCTGCAAGTTCCAGTATATTCCAATATATGGAGTGCTCTCCGTAGCAGGTCTGGACAGTGATTACTTGGAAGAAGGTAATATAAAAATATATACAATATTAACACTTCCTAAATGTTGCTTGGTAGAAGAAATACAAGTCTCTGTCTGAAATGTGTCACACAGGAGATTTCATTTGGAACAGAAGCCCAGTTACAAAATTTCAGTAGGGAAGAGAAAAAGGAAACAGAATAAAACCAGGTTGGATCATTCATCAAACACTGTGTCTATGGTTTATGCTTTTTGGACCTACTGGTAAATAAAAAGTAGGAAAGCATTCTTTTTTTAAATGCACATAACTAATATAGTAAAAGGACTGTTGACTATAAGCTCAAGGTGAAAGCTTTCCCTAAAACAAAAAGCAACTAAAATAAAAAAACACAGAAACTAAAATCAATAGTCAGTGATTTTTTTTACAAAATAAAACATTTCCCTCAGAAAGTTGATTGAAAAAATATATAAATAGCTTCTGTTTTTATAGTTAAATTTTTTAATCTCTGGTGCATAACAAGGATTGAAAGAATTCTGAGAAATTAAACAAAAGTATTTGGTGGATTCGAATTAATGGGCCAAGCAAGCTTTTTTTCCTTGGCTTCTCTGTCAAATGAATCATAGATGGAGTCTTTGGTTATAGTTTTGGCCATGGGAGGGATTTCTGAGATGCCAACATAGTTTTTTTTGGCCATCCTTGAACTGGTTGTGATAGTATAGGCATTGCTTCGGTAACATTTCATCGAGGACATGCAAAAAGTCTCTTTCATTCCTCTCCTAAAGTTGGCATTATAAATTGAATAGAGAGCAGGCTTAGAGGCTGAGGAACTAAAGGATATCCATGTGATAGCTGTGAAAACAAGGGAACTTTTCTTATGGTCCTGTTCATGGGGATGCCACAGCTGAGCTACGTGAAAAGGCAGCCAGGAGAGCAAAAACAATAGATTTAAAATGAGGAACATCTTGATCGTTTTCACTTTTGTCCTTGGGACAATGTTCATTGTCCTCCTCACTGTTCGGCCATCAGTGCCTATTCTCCAAATGTATTTTATGACCTTCTGGTAAAATAAGATTATGAGGACAGAGGGAATCACAAAGCTTGCCAAGAAGTGGATGACAGTGTAGGCAGTTCCTTCCCAAGAGGAAGGGAGGAAGTAGTTACAGTGATTGTCCCAGTCGGAGCCGTAGAAGAAGAACACGGGGGTCACAAAAGCCGCATCAAAGATCCATGATGCTGCAATCATCTTCTTGGCTTTTTCTCTGGACACCTTGAAGCTCAGAGGATAGACGATGGTGTAGAACCGGTCTATGCAGATGGAGAGGAGGACATAGATCTGGACGCCCGGGGTGAGATACTGAAAATACCGCACAGCCTTGCACAGGGCGCTGCCGAGCGTCCACCGGCCGGTGGTGAACTGAAGCAGGACAAAAGGCGTGCTGGCCACGCTGACGAGGAGGTCGGCACATGCCAGGGAGACCACAAAGTAGTTGGTGGTGGACTGAGTCCTCCTACTCCGATGGATGACCAAACAAACCAGGGAATTGCCAAAGACAGAAAACAACCACAAGGCCCCAAAGAAAATGCTGGCTGCGGCCACTTCCCCGAGTTTCGGTCCATACTGCAGGCCTGTTCTGTTGCTCATCCAGCCGTGCTCCTCGGGAAGTTCCGTCAGGTCATGGCTCAGCAGAGGGGTGACCGTTTCCGTGCCGCTGTGGTTTTGGAGGGGCACCAGAAGTGTAGGAATAACCAAAGGCAGCTTGCTGTTATCCATTCTGTGAGCAAAAACCATGTTCATTTTTTCCCTCTTAGTTCTGGATAAGAAAAGAAGAATGAGGCCTCCTGTTAAAATGGTTACACACACTGATTCCTAAAGCTAACGATTTTATTTGATGCTTAGATCGGTTGTCATTTGTCAATGGGTAGGACTTGTGCGTCGGCAGGAAAACATGACTACTCTCCAGAAAAAGCTCTGGCCCCATTTCTCCTTCATTTGAAGGCTGTTCAGCTGATCCCAGCTCAGGCTCTCCCTGGCCCCCACCTCCCCTGACCCTAAATCAAATGTGGTAGAACTCACAGCAAGCCCCACTCCTATACAGATCCTTGTTCTCTTCATGCACTGACATCACAGAGAGTTAGGGAGCTCAAATCTCGCTCATGGTAAGGGTACTACCCCCAGCTGAAGCGCTGTTGGAATTCCGGCAAGGATGTGAGACGTTCCTGAATGTCAACACTAAAGTAACGAGGCTGTGAGGCTGCAAGGCTGTGGCTGCGAGGGAGGAAACCTTGAGCAAGTGGAAACACCCAGAGGTCAGCTCTGGAAATAGCTAACAGGAACATGGCTGGCCACTGGGAAGAACCCTGTCCTTACTGCAGAATTTCCTTTATAGAAGTATTATGGAAGCACGTGGGGCAAACATAACACTTTAATGTGAGCCAGAAGTAGCTCCTAATTTAATGACACATAAAAATAGCCTGTTTTTTTTTCCAAAAGATAATGTGCTACCTATCAATGACATATTTTGATACTATTCTGTTGTCATTGTTTCATAAAATGACACTGATTTTAGAATATACAAGATGTCCCCTAAAAAATGTAACAAGGTTACTAGAAACCTTATGGCATTCAGACGATTAAAAGCAACCAACTTGAACTTCGCTCAGCCTTGAATTTTTTTTCCTACTATTCAGTGAGGAAAAAATAGTTATACTTTTTAATAGGTAAAAAGATTGTATCATCATGGGCCATTCAATTAAAATTGAGGTGACTTTGGCTGCAGTCAGATCACCGGGGTTTAATTTGGTCTGAATCTGTCAAGCAGAAAGAAAGCATAGCAACTGATCCATAATAACAGAGCAGTTCCACCAGGTGGGCTCCTATGACTATACTTCACAGGGAAACTTTTCTGAATTTTAGAGGTAGAATTACAGAACAGTTCTTTATGAAAGAGCACCTCTTAATGACCCATTTTTCCTTGAAAGATTTTTGTAATAATTTGTGGTGGGGAGAGGGTGTTAATATATATTGTCCCCACCAAGAAACCACATTCAGCAAAAGTCTGGAGCTCAGGGCAATATATTAAATGCCAGTTCCATGTTCCCTTCAAGGCTGTTTTTGTCCGTGAAGCAGCCCTCCTTAATTTCTCAAAGAGAAATGTAAGGTAATTAGACATTTTCATTACTGAAAGACCTTTAGCATGGCTGGCTGGTTGATAGCAAATCTTAAGATGAGCAACCATACTTCCTATATAAAAAATAAGGGTACAGTTTGAAAATAGGACAGAAGATCTAAAATTAGCACTGTCCTGGAAAATCTGGAATGTATGACTCTCATACTTACAAAACTGAAATAATCTTTTCACCTTCATATGTGTAATACCTTTAAAATCATTTTTTAAAAAACTCCACAATAAAAAAAAAAAAGAGTCAGCTTAAAAATAAGAGACCAGCAATTTTCCCAGAAGGAAAGAACTGTTCTAAACTTCTGGGGGATGCCTGTGGCCTAAACAAAACAGGATTTGGTGGCACAGGCACTTTTCTGTGGGTCACACACATACTTTGAAACTTGTGAACTTCCTTCCTTTTCTTTCTTCCTCTCACAGCAAAACTCTGCAGATGAAACTCAAGATCACCGCTACCACCAAAGCGCTGCAAGGCCTTCTTCCATCCTTTCCTCCAGCTGCTTTACACCAATGAGTGTGTCCGCTGATTTCTCTAGCCACCCTCACCCCACACCTGCCTGGAAGCGGAGGATCCTGCCGCTTAGAAATGGGATGAGGAAGTCTGGGGAGTTCCTGAGTCTAGGTCTCCCCTGATGATGGCATGACTTTTCTGACTGCGCCTAAAAGTGCTGCGTCTCTATTCATTCAGTAAACCAGTAAACTGTGCTAGGTACTAGGAAACAAAGACAAGTAAGGCCCATGACAGGTAAGTGTATAAATAAGCTGTCTGCCATAGTGTAACTAAATTCTATAATTATAACTAACAGGCAGGGAGCTAAGTGGCAGAGAAAAATAGGGACCCAATTTTGTTTGGGATGGGGGGAGGAAAGGGAAGGCTTCACAAAGGAGGTGAGGTGTAAGCTGGGGACCTGGAGGATGAAGAGGACTTCTTCAGACAGACAAGGGGTAAAAAACAAGACAAAACAAAAAAACAAAAAACATAACAAACAGAAAAAACATTCCAAGGGAGGGAGAGAGCATGTGGAATGAATTTAGGGGACATCCTTCTAGGTTGATCTTTTTTTGGCCCTCTTCCCCTTAGAGACATAATTTTCTGCAGATCACGCCTCCCAGACTATATAGTCCCTAAATGCCTCAGAATCAGACTGATCTACATTCTTCCCAAGGTTACAATGAGTGGTTGTATTTTCCACATTCATGGGCTAAATTACAGTCATACGGTGGAAACGAAAATTAAGATCTGCAGAATGGCTGTGGAGTCCATGTTCATACAGTGCTTTGTAACTCCTTTTCCCAGTTTGTTTGCTTTAGTCATGGTTCTCTAGCCTAGCAACACACTGGACTCTCTGAGGAAGCTTAAAAAAATACTGATGCTTGGGTTCTAGCCCCAGGGATTTCTGATTTAATTGCTCTGGAGTGCAGCCTGGGCATCAGGATGTTTCAAAGTTCCCCAGGTGATCCCAATGTGCAGCCCAGACTAACAATCACTGCTTTAGAATTGCCTCCATGCTTCTGTCTTCTCCCATAAACTGTGGGGTCCTGGGAAAAGGGCATTATCCTTTGTCCATGCTCTATAGCTTCTACTGAAATTCTTTACATTAATTATCGCTTATTAACTGCTTTCTGAATTGAATCCATAGGACAGAAAACTGAAATGCAGGTCTCCTACTCTAGGTGGCTCTGTGAGGAGAATTAAATGCAGAGAGAACCGCATGTACTCTCAGGGAGCTGAAACACTGGTGACCGTGGCAACAGGGGAACCACCACTCCCGAGAAGAGCAGGGCAGGTGAAACTGAAGTCACCCAAATCAACTCTCATTTAAGGGGCAGTGAAGGTGGTTAGGGGACCTCAGACAGCCTCCTGCACCCTCTTCCAGAAAACACGGTCTGCCATATTATAACTAAATTCTAGGGTCCCAAAGTAAAAGTCCGAAAGATCTCCCCTGCTTCATTAATTTGGAAATAAATAAATCTTCAAGGGAGTGTATCTGAAATACAAGGGCTGCACAATTAGTAATTATGTCCGGGTCATCCATATTCAGTAATTTTAGCAGTGACAGGAAAGACTTCTCTCTTCCTGCTCAACCTATCTCTTTCCAACTAGTTCTGAGGCTGCCACGTGACACACTTCATTGGGTTGACCACTGAGGGCCCTTATTAAAATACACCTCTATTTATATATTATCTAAGAGAAGAATTACTCATATTTTGGGCTCTAAGAGATGTGTTTTCATATATAGGTGAGGAAACTGTTGGATGGGCTGACATGGTGTAAGGGCTGGGGGACCTCTTAATGATGAGACCCTGGGGGGAATATGTCTGTTCTCTATGTTGTGATTTTTATTTTGAATGTTGTCTCCTGTTAGGTTATGAGTTCCTTAAGGACAGGGACTGTCTTTATTCTATATCCCTGGGGCAGACAGATAATTAAAGTTTAGTGAATAAATAAATGGATAGATGTGTTAATAAAAAATTATCTAATACTTGAACAAAAGGTACAGAGAGCATCGCATATCTTTTTACTGTCACACTAGGACATTGTTAAATGGGCTTCCCCAAGGATTATTTAATTTTCTGGAAGAATGTATCTGTGCTTGATTTTGCTATTTACTGTATGACTAGAGCCCAGACATCACACGTTAGCATGCAAATTTCTGTCTAGTAGAAAAAATAACCCCGAAGGTTATGGACTTACTGTCCATAACATAACATAGCGAGCTTTGTGCCTACCCAGCAATCTTATGTTCACATTCTTTAAAGAAACAGAAAACAACAAGAACATTTTAGATATCCATTTATTCAAGGGCTCTTAGAAGCAACCTTATCAGTTCCTTCAGTAATAAGTTAATACATCTTTAACTTTAGGCTCATTTTATATTTGAATGAGAATCATGATTTTAACTTTTTGAAAATCATATTTTGATGGATGGATAAGCGTATGGATGACGAGAGACTAATCCACAAAGAGGAACAGAGGGGCCCAGATGACAACTTTGTTTACTTCACAGCTTGCCAGGGGCTGTTTCTGGAAAAGCATACTAGTTGCTGGTTAGGCTTCTTCTAGACTCAGAAACCCCCAACAACTGGTTTCTTTTAACCTTCCTGAAATTATAAAGATTCACAGATTTTCTCACAATATTGGAAGTCTTTTTTTTTCTGACATTTGTTCAAAAATTTAATGGCAAGCCAGAATTTTCATAATGCTTCAATTTTATGATTTGATTGGGAAAAAAAACAAATGAAAACATTTTCTGTAGAAAACATAGGTTGTTTACTAATGAGCAGTGAGATTAATTACAATGATGACAGTAGTTCTAACATTAATACTACCAAGAGTTAGTACTTATTCTGGGCTTACTACGTGTCAGGTAATTCATATGTGTTGGCTTTTAAGGTAGGTAATATTATTAGCCCCGTTTTACAAGCGGAAAAAAACAACAACTAAAGTTCCTCCCCAAGGTCATACAGTTGGAAGTGGTCACCCAGAACGGCCTCACTCCAAAGTCCATGCTTTTAACCACCACTGGCACTTCATGCCCAGGGAAGCCACAATGGCCTGGATCTGAATTCAGAAGGTCAAACTGGTTGTACATGGACTTCTCAATCAAACATAAGAATATAAAGTTATTCCC